AGAGGAAACATTTTTGTTGTTTTCTCCCCCCCCAAAAATAAAAAAACTGTTAAAAAATATGTAGTTTAAAGATCTAAGAAGTATACTTAAAAGTATTTTTATTTTATTGATTGCTCTAACATCCCTGCGATGGACTGGCGACCTGTGTAAGGTGTACCCTGCCTCCCGCCTGTAGACAGCTGGAGATAGGCACCAGCATCCCTCGCAACCCCAGCAGGGATAATGCTAGACAGAAAATGGATTCATGAATGATTGCTCTAACCCAGATGCATTCAGCACTTTAGGATTTTGTTCTCTTTGAACATGTTTACACCCTCAGTAGAAAGTTGATAACCAGAGAAATCGATTAAATGCTGTATCAGATCTAGTGAGGTCATATGCACTACAGCCAAGATATTGAAGAAATCTGTGTCTGCTCCAGTCTGCTATTGCATTTCATGCTTGCTGAACTGAAAGCTGGTGGGAGAGGTTGGTGCTTTAGAATTTACGGATGCAATGTGGAGAGACAACTTCAGGATGTCACAGAGCAAGAGTGCAATAAAATCAAATGAGGCAGCAGTCTGTCTTGTAGTTTCTTTGGATTTTTTTTCTTTTTACTTGGAAAAGAGGATCTTCTAAACCATGCATAACCCTGCACAAAGCATGCATCCAACACTGAAGATAAAACAGTTAAGAGAGCTCTCACAGACCATCTACCCTTCAATTTCCCACTCGCAGGTTAATGTGATAGATTAGAACTGAAAATAAAGCTTATTTAGCTTCATGTTTGATCACTGTTTCTTTTAATTTGAAATTTTTCAGATGTCAAACAATGAAAAAAAGTCAGAGAACAGTGTTAAAATGCACAATATAGTACTGATAGAAAAGTCGTGAAACTACAATTTCGTAATATCTAAGATTTCTTGCTTATCATATTATTGGTGTTTTCATTATCTTTTCAGGAATCAGGAAATCTCAAGAACGGCAGAAAGAGCAATCATGTTCATTTATACATGTCAAAAGGCCAAATAACACTGCTGACATACTTTTTAATTTTAGTGGAGTGCCTTATAATGATTTTTTATAATAATTTTTTTAAATCCAAACATGCTGAGTTTAAGTCAATTCTAAATCAGCCTTTTCAATATCAAGTCATTTAAATAACAAATTTTCAGTCCTATATGATCACATCAACATCTTTCAATTTGATTTTAGCATTCTATAAGTCATCAACCAGTCTTATTTATGTCTTAAAACAAAGGGTGGGATGGCACAGTATTGGCAGCTAGAAAAAATTAAAGAACAAATAATCAAGGGAGTTTTCACAGGTGCAATCATGGTGTGTGCATAGCATAGCCTGTGATTGAACATAATAGTGTTTGAAATTTTAGATCATTGCAATGACAGTGGATAAAGATTAAGGTAAACTCTGTTAAAGTGGTCTATTTTTGCAGGATGCATCAAATTGGTATCCTTTTATGACCGCCTCTGGAAACCTGTGTTTGAATTTTGGGTATTAATTAGCTGTTGACCATTAAAATGTACTGAAATGAAATGACCATGAATACCACAGTCTGTTTGTAAAGAATCTATGTGAAGAGTTTTGCTTTATAACCTGAAGTTATCAAATCAAAGAACCTTTTGTTTACATTTTAATTAATTGATATTCATAAAGGAAATCAGGATAACAACAGGATGGATGCAAATGAATATAAGAGTGGAAAGAGAGGAAGAGTATGGAGGATCAATCCTGCCATAATATTCTTTTACTGAAATGCTGTATTTTTCTCTGTAGTTATTTATTTCCAATAAATATATTTGTTTTTTAGTTTATTTAAACCTTTTTATTGTCGTCTTATTGTTTGACTCCCAAAATATATTTAAAACATGTTTTCTTACTCTTTATGTTATTTTTCAATTATTTTAGTTTGATTTTATGATTTTAATGGAACATAAAGGTTTATAGAATGTTTGATGTGATTAGATGTGGAAAATGGCCCATCTGCAACCCATGCTTTTATTTTGAAGACACCTCAAACTAAAGGCCTAAATGTACTGGTAGCATACGACTTTTTAAACTCCAATCCAATTTTTTTCATCGTCACACTGACAGCATATACAGGTGCTGGTCATAAAATTAGAATATCATGAAAAAGTAGATTGATTTCAGTAATTCCATTTAAAAAGTGAAACTTGTATATTATATTCATACATTACATACAAACTCATATATTTCAGATGTTTATTTTGTTTAATTTTGATGATTACAAATGACAACAAATGAAAATCTCAAATTCATCATATCAGAAAATTAGAATATTACTGAAGACCAATAAAAACAAAGGATTTATAGAAATGTTGGCCAACTGAAAAGTATGAACATGAAAAGTATGAGCATGTACAGCACTCAGTATTTAGTTGGGCCTCCTTTGGCCTGTATTACTGCAGCAATGCGGCGTGGCATGGAGTCGATCAGTCTGTGGCACTGCTCAGGTGTTATGATAGCCCAGGTTGCTCTAATAGTGGCTTTTAGCTCTTCTGAATTGTTGGGTCTGGTGTATTGCATCTTCTTCTTCACAATACCCCATAGATTTTCTATGGGGTTAAGGTCAGGAGAGTTTGCTGGCCAATTAAGAACAGGGATACCATGGTCCTTCAACCAGGTACTGGTAGCTTTGGCACTGTGTGCAGGTGCCAAGTCCTGTTGGAAAATGAAATCTGCATCTCCAAAAAGTTGGTCAGCTGCAGGAAGCATGAAGTGCTCTAAAACTTCCTGGTATGTGGCTGCGTTGACCCTGGACCTCAGAAAACACAATGGACCAACACCAGCAGATGACATGGCACCCCAAACCATCACTGACTGTGGAAACTTTACACTGGACTTCAAGCAACGTGGATGAAGTGCCTCTCTTCTTTTCCTCCAGACTCTGGGACCTTGATTTCCAAAGGAAATGCAAAATTTACTTTCATCAGAGAACATGACTTTGGACCACTCACCAGCAGTCCAGTCCTGTTTCTCTTTAGCCCAGGCAAGACGCTTCTGACGCTGTCTGTGGTTCAAGAGTGGCTTGACACAAGGAATGCGACAGCAGAAACCCATGTCTTTCATACGTCTGTGTGTGGTGGTTCTTGAAGCACTCACTCCAGCTGCAGTCCACTCTTTGTGAATCTCCCCCACATTTTTGAATGGGTTTTGTTTCACAATCCTCTCCAGGGTGCGGTTATCTCTCTTGCTTGTACACTTTTTTCGACCACATCTTTTCCTTCCCTTCGCCTCTCTATTAATGTGCTTGGACACTGAGCTCTGTGAACAGCCAGCCTCTTTAGCGATGACCTTTTGTGTCTTGCCCTCCTTGTGCAAGGTGTCGATGGTCGTCTTTTGGACAACTGTCAAGTCAGCAGTCTTCCCCATGATTGTGTAGCCTATAGAACTAGACTGAAAGACCATTTAAAGGCTTTTGCAGGTGGTTTGAGTTAATTAGCTGATTAGAGTGTGGCACCAGGGGCCATCAATTTTGAACCTTTTCACAATATTCTAATTTTCTGATATGATGAATTTGAGATTTTCATTTGTTGTCATTTGTAATCATCAAAATTAAACAAAATAAACATCTGAAATATATGAGTTTGTATGTAATGTATGAATATAATATACAAGTTTCACATTTTAAATGGAATTACTGAAATCAATCTACTTTTTCATGATATTCTAATTTTATGACCAGCACCTGTAGAGAGGCTCTGACTCTACAGGGTCAGCAGATCTATGCAGATTTGTTTTCATTTCTGTCTCTGTGCCACGCAAATTAAAATGATTCCCACATTTGACTTGGGAAAAATAATGAAAAGTTATCAAAAATATATATAAAAAATAAAATAAGAAAACACTGGCACACTTATAAAGGAAAGTCCCATATAATGAGTCTGTGCAGCATCTCAAACCATAACTTATAGAGAATGTTCATATACCACCAGCAGTTACTGACGTCTGCCAATAGCTGCAGCGGTGATGCTTTTCCAAAGCCCGCCCCTTAGTTTTTCTATTAACAGCTAGCTGTGTATGGATTCCATACACAGCTATTTAATGAGGGGCTGTGGGAAGAAAAGCAGCAATTTTTGTTTTCTGTTTCTTTGTTACATTGCTGGTAACTGGAGGGAGGCTGAGGCCCAGAGTATCTTGTATATGTTTAGTTTCTTTTGCACCCTGTTTTGAGTTTTTGAGCACAATAAATCACCACCACCGGTAACCCGACTGAGCCTGGATTCTTGGAGGCCAAAGAACCCCGTCACAGTGACCCAAATCATCACTGTTAGTTATTATATAGTAAATTAAATCATTACTGTTAAATTGTATGTATTGTCCAATTGTTTATTTGAATTCTTATTCCGGATTAGTTGGAGACATACACTAGGCTATATCAGCCCCACCAAAAATATTTTTCACCAGCCGCCACTGGTATGGAAGAGGTGAAAATACAGGAGGAAGAAAAACAAGTGGCAGAAAAAGGAAAGGCGGAAATAAACGGCTTAAGAAAAAATACTGGGATTAGAAAACATATCAGTTTTTAAAATAATAATAAACCAAATAATTAGAAAATAATATAAAGAGTGGAAAAACCTGTTTAAATATATTTGGAAAGTCAAACAATAAATAAAGAGTAAAATGGGTTTTTAAAATAAAACAGCAACAAATTAACTTGAAATAAATAGGTAAAAAATGCAGCATTCAAAATACAGATGAAATAAAACAGTTAAAATAAAAGATATATAATTATGTCAAAAATTATTTACTATTTTTAAATATATCTCTAGTTGTTATCTGTTTCTTGCATTTAATAGCTCACTAATTTAAATATACATCCATTATTTCACCATTAATTGATATTCATGATTTATTTATTTATTTATGTAGGCTATTTTTTTTTATTATGGCAGGATTGGTCTTCCATAGAGGATGCAAGTAAATGCGAGGGGAAAGAAAAAAAAATGATGTACGGGAAGAGAGGATGAAGTAATAAAGAAGTACTGATAAATGAGCTAAAAGGGGAGCAGGAGGATAGAGGGAGGGATAATAAGCATTTGGAAGGAAAAGGAAGAACGAAAATTAATTCATTTTTACGTTTCCATCTGCCCCCACGCGGGATTAAGGTGCCACGAAAGGATCATTAGTAAGCTCACTACAACACACCCACAGCACATTCTCCAGCACGGCGCGGTGAAGCTTAGACTGGTCCAGCTTTAGAAGCGCACAAACCGGCACAAACAAGCACCCAGCAGGGCGTCGCAGCCTCCAACGGGCACCCTGAAGAAACCATTTGGGGTGTTAAAGCGGGCGAGGACCATGGAGGGCCCAGTCAACGGCTCAGAACTCCGGAGCCAGCTCCCTGCAGTCAGCCACAACATCAGCTTCTGTCGGAACTTCACTGACAACGGCAGCTTTTCTGAGACGCGATGCGACGAAAACATTGGACTGACCAGCAGCCTGGAGGAAGACGCCAACCCGGTGATCATTGCGATCATAATCACCGCTCTTTACTCCATAGTTTGCATGGTGGGGCTGGTTGGTAACGTGCTGGTTATGTACATCATTGTAAGGTAAGAGCATTAAAGAGTCAAAGATTTTCCTTCTTTGTCTTTTGGTCGAGATTTTAACATTTGCGGGTGCTTTAAAACTCTCATTACCTGTTGCTACAGGACATTAAACGCTGAGCAGTCGTGTGCGCGTGTGTTTAATAAACGCGCAGGTTCCAGCTAGGCTGCGGCTCGTGCGTAAAATGCGTCTTACCTCTCCTCACATTGGCATTCAAGCGCGCGAATGGCTACAACCCTAACCAAGAAAGAAGAAACAATATACACTTAATTTTACTGTTTTGAAACAATTAAATATAATTGCTTGATGCGTAACGCTGCTCCTTAGCGCAACTAAGCTGAAGTTTGCGCTGAATAAAAAAAATGATGCACCATTGTGGCTGTCTAAATCCTCCGTGTCGTTGGATTCAGTGTTTTCTGTGTGCGAATCATAGGGAAAATCCACACATATTTGGAAAATGCTTTGAAATAACACACACAGATGTTTTTCTCTGCTCAGCTTCATAATTTACAATTTTACGCACAAGATAGGGAAAATTCCAGCTTCTTATTGCAGCTGCATAATACTTAGCGTTTCCTCACGTTAATCTAGTCTGATTTTTTTAAACTCAGTCAGCCACTAATTTACATCTTGAACTTTTGCAAAACAATCCTCAGCTTTCCATATAATGTCAGTGTGAACTTCTCTTATGTGCTAGAGGTGTCAAAAACATTCAGTGTTCTGATATATATATTTTTTTCTCTGTCGCATGAGTTGCATGATCCAAACGGTCTAATTAAATATGGAAATCTGAAATTTGTGTTAGAAAGCTGCGCCTGATGGAGCTTTTGGACAAAAATAAAGGGTTAGATTGGTAGAGAAATGTGTAGAATGGCAAATGGACATGGAGAAGCAGTGTTCATGGATGGATTTATTGAATGTTGATCACGGTGATACAGAAGTTTACAAGGATCATGTGAGAAAAACTCAGAGGAAGGGGTCATGGCTTTCTGCTCTCATGTGAGTGCGAAGTGATTACTCCATGCTCACATCATTGATCTCTTGGAGTGGTCAGGCAGAAGGTTTGCTGTAAGGAGTTTGTCAAACAAGAGCTTAATTCCATCTAGCTGTAAAGTGCAGACGTGTAAGAGAGTTATGTGGTTATTTGCCTATCTTTCACTGGCTGATGTTACACAACTGCTTAATTGCATCAAGAATTGCTCCATTTAACCCTATCCCAGTTGTGAAGCCGCTTTAAATGTTTCCTGAATTACAGCAGCTGCAAGAATCCTTTAACGTTCACTGCAGATAAGGTTATTTCACAGAAATATACAAACTAACAGCTGTTTGGTAAACAAATCAAACCAGAGCAACTTAATAGCTCCACACTTATACTGCATTTAGTTTTAATAGCACTTTTAACGACTGCTGTAGTCTCAACATTATTCAACCCCTTCATGACATGAAGGGGTTAAGTGGCAGAATGAATGACATGAAGGCAGTAGTAGCAGCTCAACAATAACTGATGGGGTGAAGCCCAGCAAACATGCCCCTAATGCTCCAGCATCAGATCCTCTTCCACCAGGGTAAAAATCCCATTTGGATGCCAAGATCCTATCCAGATCCATCTGACATCACTGCTGCCAAGCAAACATGAATGAGGCACATTCCATAACTAGATACAGTGACTTAATATCACAATGTTGTTTTTGTTTTTTTATCACTGCCTTACCTTATCAAGGCTGCACTTTAAAAAATGAAGTTGTCTAGAGAGCTGTTCTAAACGAAATTTCTTTTTGTTTACACTTGTGTATACAAAAGGGCAAAATAAATCTGTCTAAGTCATACATCTTTAGGTTTATAGGAATAACATTTTGTTCTTCTGACATGTTGCAAACTCAATGCAGACAACAGTCTCCTTCAGCATTCTTGGAAAATCTAAAACCGCGTGATAAGCAGTGCCCCTAAAATAATTTAATATTTTGTTTATTTGTTTTGCAAATGTCTTTGCTTTTATACTGCTTCTATGTTTCTTCTATTGTATTATCTAATTCATTTAAAGCACATTCAATTGTCCATGTACTGAATTGTGCTATACAAATAAACTTGCCTCGCCTGTATTGAAATTTGAGGTTATGTTGCTGCTTTTTTAAATTTCAATACATTTTTGTCAGACAACTAGATTGAACCCTATCATCTTATTGGATGTCCTCTTTAACCAGGCCTTGTAGGATCTTCAACTTGAAATCATTGGGCCACATGCAACATTATCTTATTCTTATTGTGAACTTCTTATACTTTTTGTCCTAAAGTGGGCTCTTTGTAAACTTAATACAGTCCACCTGTGCATAAGTGTGCATTCCCAAGAAATATAAATCTGCATGATTACTATCAACCATCACGACAATGTTCTGCTAAATCTCCTTTTTATACACAGACACATGTGTACCATACATCTCTAGACCACGTCTGCCATCCCTTCTTCATACTCTCCATCTCTCTCACAATGCATAAACATATATAAAATATTGACGGAAAAACTCCAACTTGACAAAATCAGAACGACCCAAACCAAAATATTTCACATTTAGTGTAATAACAAAGCCAAGTAGCTGCCATGGAGTAAAATGAATGAAAGTCTTACTTGGACAAAATGACAACAAATTTAACCAGAGTAGAACATACCCACATGCCAGCTGCAGGTTTAGTGGTTCTGTTATTGTCATGAAACGCGGACAGAGGGACCCAGTATTCAAGGAGAGACAGTCAGTAGGAAAGCTCAAAACGTTTATTAAATAAACAAACAAAACAAAAGCGGAGCTGTGGCTTGCGGACACTGCAGGATGGGGAGCGGGGCACCGCCCATCTCAGACACTCTGGTTTAGCAGTTCAGTCCATGAATGTTCCCAAGTGCTGCAGTTCCAGAGGACATGCTGGAAGCCGATCCTGGTCAGGGATCCAGAACAGACAGGAACAGGATCCAGATCAGGCAGGAACAGAACAGGTGGCATGATCCAGACTTCCAGGCATCCACAAGCTCCCAGGAGGGTTCAGAGTCTGACTGGGACCAGAAGCATGACCAGGTGGTCACGCACAGGAGCAGACAGGATCAGGTGCAGACAGGCAGGCTCAGTGGAAGAGGGTAGCCGAGGCAGGACGTGGAACCAGAACTAGACCTTTAAACTGGTCTCCTCCCTGGAGCCAGGCTTACTGAGATAAAAAACTGAACCTCCCCACATATAGAGCCAAAAACCCAGAGGACTCCGCAGGGGAGGAACAGTAGACGATCAGGAGACGAGACAAACACTAAAACCCTCTTTCCTCTGGCCGCCAGGATCCAGGACACGAACCAAGGAATAACACTAACAGACAGGCTAACAGAAAGACAAGTAATGATCTGGCACTGAATGCTCAGGCTGAAGGGAATTTAAACCAAAGGAAACAGGTGAGAGGAATAAATTATAATTGAGGCAGGTAGGGAAAAACGACAGGTGAAAGGAATGACTAATTAAGGGAGAGCAAACAGACCAGATCATGACAGTTATCAGCAAATAAAAATGTAATTTATAATTGCAGAGTTGCCTAATATATATTAATGAAAAATGGATTATCGCTTCTAAGTAAAAAAAATGTAGTAATTTGGTGAAAAACTAGGTTCAGGCATCAGTTGAGTGATTGAGCAAGACTCCTATGTCACGTCTGGAGCACTTGTAACATGTTCACCCCTGAGAGAAGATTAGAAATAGGAGAATGTGACATTCTCTTCTTAATCATGATTTAAGAACAAATTTGTGCGTATGAACAGTTCTTGCATTAGGCATATTGTCCTGTCTAAAGGTCCATTGATGCCCAATCCCTAGCCTTCTCACTAATTATATGACATTTTTTATTGATGTAAGTGGTGACGTCTTTGAGTTTAGGTATGGAAACCTTCAGTATTTAATCATTCCCTAATTTATACTCAAACCTGAGAGGCCACAGCCATCAAGTGTTGCTGCTAGTGAAAGAATGTTTTTGACCACGTCTGCAATAGAACCTGGTAGCACCCCCCTCTTTTAACTACTATATAGCATACTGTAGCCCTTGGTCTATTATTATAAACTTGCAAACTTTGCATACAGCTGAGCTCAAGGAACATTTTTACCCTTTTCTGTCTTTGACTGTACCTAATTTTCTTTGTTTATGCAAGGCAATGATCCCTTTTCTATTTTTTTTTATTTCTTTTTACTAAGTATGTTTTAAAATTCAATCAAATACAGTCAACAGTTGTGGTATTTGAAGCCTTTTATCTCAAGCACACAGATTAAAGAAGCCCTTGGCTGATGTCAATTGTTCTTGTGTAATGCTCTGAAAATGCATTTTTCTTCTTGAAAACTCAGACAATTTAAGCACAGGTTAAATCCTTTTGATGTAACTTCCGCTAAGTTTCACAAGTAATGTTAACATCATAAGATATGTTACGGTCTCTGGGGTTTTGCTGTTTTTCTGGTGTGAGTGGGCTTCCTATCACAGAGAGCATCTTTAATTGTGGCTAGATCGACCAATGTTGCTGCACACCTGAGGACCTTTCTCAATCAAGACAATAAGTATTTATATAAGGAGGTGAAGGATCATCTCTGTTTGCCAAATACCTAAACCAGGAATATCATTCTTGGTGAAATTTGTTACTAGTGAATCTCTTTAATGTGGAATCTGTTATTGTTCCAGACAACCTGTAAACCTTAGTTTATCTCTGATCTTCATGGAAAAGGTCTTCCCTGTGTGCTGAGGTACTGAGTCTTCATCACCTGGCTACCCACTCTCCAGCATGATGTCTCTTGCAAGTGCCAACACTCGGATCTCGCTGACATTCTACTGAACCTCTGGGGTACAGTCTGCAAAGCCTGCTGCATCAAACCCTAAAGATACATGCTGACTCCCCTTCATCCCTCAAGTAAGCAAATCAGTCATCAGTCGTCATCAACCAACTCCTTCCTGATCTGTCTGCTTTCACCCCTCAGATCAACCAGAAAGTTACAACTGACTT